CGGCAGAGGCCAGAGCAGACGGCAGCTGCAAGCCGTGACACCGAGGCAGGGGGGTTGCTGCTTTTGAGGGAGAAAGGCCAAATTTTAAGGCTTTCCGGCCCTGCCCATGCCTTGCGTTGAGTGCTGCCCTCCTGCCATCCTCCTCCTTGCCCCTACTGCTGCAGACCTCACGCTTGGGGTTTCCCACAACAGGTAGCGCTGGATTTGGTATCTAAAGTAGCAACTGTGCTCCCACGATGACAAAAAGCTGTCAGCTACCCCTGACGAAGGAGGACTGTTGAGTGCCCTGGCAGGTGCCCAGTTGCTACTATATGTTACCAGATGATGAATTTAAAGCTGTTTGCCAGCAAGTCAGACACAAGCATTGGGCACCTCCTTTAGCTGAAAGCCGCTGGTTTAGTTCAGAGTTTGCAGTGCCCCAGAAGGACCAGCTAAGAGCCTCTGTCCTCAGCTAGCCTAAATCTCAATGCTTACAGTGCTCACACCTTGCAGAATAGCATGAGGAGGGTAGGGGTCTCCAGTGCTGGGATAATAAAACCCCAATCTGTCTAATCTATCCCTAATCCACGGGATTTCTGTTGCTGATACATCAAGTCTCTGTTAGCAGAGGGTAAGTTTACAGGATAATTTCACCTGGCATTAGCAATCATTGGCTATGCATACATTTGACTAGAGTAGGTGCATAGATGTGCAGTAATCATGACAAGGAGGGATGCGTGAGAACACGAGCTGTGCCCCCCCAGACTGTCAGCATGGGAGTTGCTGCTTTTCGCGCAGGTTTTCAAACATTTCGAGGCTAACAGATTTTCACTTTGATAACTCTGTGTGTGCATGTGTGCGTGCATGTGTGTGTCTGTGCAAACACCAGAGGCGCAGCTTTAATTCCTTTGAAATCTGAAGCTGCCAAAAGCCATCTGGGTAGGTAGGGTCTTTGCCTGATGCCTCCCGTAATCTGACAGAACCTTTGCTGTTCTCCCTCATTGCTTGAGGGGAAGGTTGTGAGGTGTGATGTCAGGACATATGTGGATCTGTTCATCCTGAGCAATGCATTTTAAGAGTTGCAGCAAATAGTGTAAAGAAACCTACAGGTATTACATTAGACCAGCTGAACCTAATTTTATTTTTAAGTTTTATTCAGAAGCATCACATAGCAAGTAAACTTCAAAATCTAAGTTTAGTTACAAACTAGTTGTTTCTTATTTTTTTTTTCCAGTCCCCTTTTGCTTTCTTTTACGACCACATGAAACTTGAGAAGCCATCTAAAGCTAAATCATTTAGTGGAGTTGGGCAATTCCCAAGTGTCCAACAAGAAGGCCTGGTTTAGGCTGCGATGGCCACTGTCATTCCTGGTGATTTGTCAGAAGTAAGAGATACCCAGAAAGTCCCTTCAGGGAAACGTAAGCGTGGTGAAACCAAACCAAGAAAAAACTTTCCTTGCCAACTGTGTGACAAGGCCTTTAACAGTGTTGAGAAATTAAAGGTTCACTCATACTCTCACACAGGAGAGAGGCCCTACAAGTGCACACAACAAGACTGCACCAAGGCCTTTGTTTCTAAGTACAAATTACTAAGGTATTAAACTCTATTTATCTTTCAGATTATATTATCTATTTTATGTTGGCCGTGTTAAGCCGTGTAAAAGTATATATTTGTGTACGCCTTCAGCTGATTGCAGAGAGGATGTGTTAATTAAAGTAGCCATGGGATTGTTTCTAGAATTCTAAATTACCTAAGTTTGCAAGCTAATGTCTTTGATTTTGTTTCTTAATTTGTTTTCTGCTTTTGTTTTCTGTTTGTTTGTTTGCTGTTTTTTTTTTTTTCTAAATGAGCGTAGAATTTTCATTTGTATAAGGAATTGTCACGAGAAAAAAAGAATATGGACTGAAAATTTTTTGGCTATGGACTTTTACATGAGTACTTTCATACTTGCCCCTATACCCCTGTTACATTAGCTAAAACCCACCAAAACTAAAGTGTCGATTTAAGAGAAATGGCTCGCGTTTTGCTATATTTAAATTTGTCGAACTGTCTTTGTAGTGTCATGCTTTCAGTTAAAAGGTTCTGTTGCAAAGCAGCCCTTAGTGTAGTATTTATCTGCCATTAAAAAATGAGCACGTGTGTTTTTTGGTCAAAATAATTACTTACAGAATATATCTGTGTTTAAAGGCATATGGCTACTCATTCTCCTGAGAAAACCCACAAGTGTAATTATTGTGAGAAAATGTTTCACCGAAAAGATCACCTAAAGAATCACCTACATACACACAATCCCAACAAAGAGGCCTTTAAGTGTGAAGAATGTGGAAAGAACTACAATACCAAGCTTGGGTTCAAACGTCACCTGGCTTTGCATGCTGCAACAAGCGGTGACCTCACCTGTAAGGTATGTTTGCAGACTTTTGAAAGCACAGGAGTGCTGCTGGAGCACCTAAAAACTCACGCAGGCAAGTCATCGGGTGGAGTGAAGGAGAAAAAACACCAGTGTGAACACTGTGATCGTCGGTTCTACACCCGAAAGGATGTCCGTAGACACATGGTAGTGCACACTGGAAGAAAGGACTTCCTCTGTCAGTACTGTGCACAGAGATTTGGGCGGAAGGATCACCTCACACGCCACATGAAGAAAAGTCACAACCAAGAACTTTTGAAGGTCAAAACAGAGCCAATGGACCTTCTAGATCCCTTTACCTGCAATGTTTCTGTGCCTATTAAGGATGAGCTGCTTCCAGTGATGTCTTTACCTTCCAGTGAACTGACATCAAAGCCATTTACAAACACTTTGCAATTAAATCTCTACAACACTCAGATTCAGTCCATGCAGAGTTCTGCATCTGCACACCAAATGGTTGCCACATCGTTACCATTGGGAATGCCTTGTCCAATAGATATGGAGTCTGTCCACCCTTCTCACCAGCTATCGTTGAAATATCCGCTCGGTACTACCTCATACGCAATTTCTATGCCTGAAAAAGAACAGCCATTGAAAGGGGAAATCGAAAGTTACTTAATGGAGTTGCAAAGTGGTATGCCTTCTTCATCCCAGGATTCTCAAGCATCTTCATCAAAACTAGGGCTGGATCCGCAAGTAGGGCCACTAGATGATGGGTCTGGGGAGGTTTCCCTTTCCAAGGGCTCCGTTCCTATTAGCGAACCTCTAAACACCCCATCATTGGACTTTTCGCAGCTGTTCAACTTCATACCTGTAAATGGCCCTCCCTATAATCCTTCTGTTTCAGTGGGAAACCTCGGAATGAGTTATACGCAAGAGGAGGCACATTCTTCTATGACTCAACTTCCACCACAAACCCAGGATCCACAAGATCCCAGCAATAGTATAGGTCTTGGGTCTCTGCACTCGTTGTCAGCAGCTTTCACGAGCAGTCTAAGCACAACCACCACCCTACCGCGATTTCATCAAGCTTTCCAGTAGGATGTACAAAGCTGGCTTGTTACTGTCTATTTGTAGAAATGCCTTAGGTGACCATTTTTAACTTAGTGCCTACTATAAGACATTATAAATTTTCTGCTTTTGTACAGTACCAATCTCATGAAGCCAGTAAGAAATTTAAATTAACTTTTTTAAAATGTTTTGAAAGTGTTTATTCTCAGCTGTGTTTACTTTGTTGGTTTTTTTTTTTTTAGAACAGTCTCATTGTATTGTTTTCATTTTCACTGCCAATCGACACATTTAAAATGTTCAGTAGAAAGTCATCCCAAGCAAACTCTCAACACTCATCCCTTTTTAAAAACTTTTTCAACCATACCAGCTATTCCGTTTTATTGATGTCAGTGGTAGAACTACCACTTTTACCTTTTAATATATTTAAGTATTTGCAAAGAATCCAGTTAAAATGTGTATCACAAAGGTTCCTGAAGATTTGGGAAAAAAAATTCTCCAGTCCCTTTCCAAACAAATCCTCTTCCCAAATGGTGACACATCTGATCTGTTCTATAACGACAAATCTAAATTTTTTTAAATAAATATGGAATTCAGATTTTTCTGAACACTTGTGTGTGTATATATAGAAGTCCATATATACACATGTACATATATATAGCATTTTGACTTGTATTGAAGTCATTATAAAAGGTGTTAAGAATTTTGCCATTTTCTGGCTTAAATTTTTGTGGCCTGTTACGCATAATGGAAGAAAAAAATTTAGTTTAATTCTTTAAAATCATGGCTGAACAGAATTTCAACAGAGAATCTCTGCTTGCCTAAATGACAAATGTTTCAAGTTGAATTTGGAACTGTGTTGTGCTTTCATGACTCTGGTAGAGAGAAACAGGCGAAATTAATGGCTGATCTTGAAATATAAAAGTGTTGTAATTTAGTAATGCAGAATATTTTGTCGCAGTTTTTGTTTTAATTCTTAACTTGCTGTTTTTTCTCTTTAGTAGCATAGAAAGAGTACTGCATAGGAATCTTCCAATAGTGTATTCACATTTGTAGGCATCAGTCTTCTTCCAGCTGCCACCGCCAAAGGGTGGATCAAGTCCAGCCAGAAAGTGTGTATCTATTTTCAGTTCAAAACTAGTGTGCAGTCAGAGAGTGAATGTAAATTTGCAAATACCAGTTTTTGTTTGTTTTTTTTTTTTTTTTATTGGAATGATCTTTTCAGTTGTGTTACATGGTGTGTTATGTCCTCCTAAGCAACAAGTTAGACGTTAATCACACTTTCTACACCTGGGTACTTGGTTAGGGACTTTTTGCCCATTGCCAAGATTTAAAAACAGGACTCTTAGGAGTGAAGTAAAAGCATATTGCTTACACCACTTTTACCTAATGCAATATATTCTATTCCCCAACCCCTAATAACCAAAAGAGGAAAAAAAAAAAAAAAAAACAACCAACTAACCCTGTGATGCATGAAAGCAAACTAGATTTGCTGTAATTCAACAATAACATTCTTTTCCTTGTTATTTTTGTTCAAGGAATTAAAAAATAGAAATCACGTACATTAAGATCTCTCAAACAATAATGAGGATTCATACAAGGTTTTAAGTGGTTAAACTAAATATACTTCACAGAAACAAAAGTTGCTCCCATTTAAGGAGCTCATGCTCCAGATGTTTTATCAGTAGCTCCTACTTTTTTTTTTTTTAATTCTAGGAGCAATATGCAGGTGTAGTTTTACTATTTTATACATATGTGTATTTAAATTTTATTACTGAAAGATACCATTTTTATAAATGTGTTTGTGTTCCAAAGGCATTAAAATAAGGATGTATTAATAAGGAAAATACCTTTTGAAATTCTGCAAACTACTCCTAGGTTTTGGGTTTAGGAGCACGTTCTCTCAAAGTGGGCTTTTAGCTCTGCTTCATGACTGCTTCCTCTGGTTTCTGTGAAACAGATTGCTCGCTTACTTACATCTTTAGTTGAATGATTTGTTCAATATTGCTTTTTTTCTCGTCACCTTTCTAAAGGAAAGAAAAACACAGATGAACAGAGCACAAGGTGAACGCAACCGAATGTAACTCTAGTTAAATCAGCAACCCATAACGCATCTAGGAAGAACTCGGGTTTATTCTCGATCCTTTAAATCAATCTGAGATGAAGATAGATGGACTTAATTCCTCCAGTGGGCCACGTCCCGCGTGGAGCCGAGCATCTGTAATTCCCCCTGCAGCAGAGGAAATTGCGAGGGCTCTGCATCCTGCGGCTGGCCCAGCAGCGTGGCCGGGCAGCATTGCCTGTCCTGGGCAGCCTCTGGCACACCAGTTTCCAATCCGTAGCGACTGTTCATCAGTCTCAGTTGCCGATTAGACTTGATTAACAAACCAAAACCCAACAGACACTTTGCCAACATCTGTTTCTTAGCGCGTAGCCAGAGTCCTTACTACTTTGTTCGTGCCTTAGCTTCCTGAAAAGGGATTGACATTTCACTTTGGAGTTAGACGTACATTTCACTTGAGAAATAGGGACCTCAGACAAGATATTGAACCTCATTCAGTCAGGGTTTCAGTGGGTGGCAGCACCAAGTGTGTGTGCCGCTTGACCTAGGATGTATGGTAACATGGAAGCAGACTGACACTGTAAGCAATGCTACCACCGCCGCAGTGCTTTTGAATATTACATAGGCAGAGTCGGTATTGGCCACTACGAAAACGTTATGTTTTAAACCCTGTTTTCTCAATTTTAGATGGATTCTCGGCAGGAGGGGGGGGAGGGCTGGCTGATCATGCGCCACTCTTTGTGCAACTTCTAAATTTCTAGTAAGGGGGTTTTTTTTTAAATATATATATTTTTGTGTACTTGTTGCTTGTGCTTTATTTAGTAGTAAATTGTGGAATAGAGTGATTTATTGTTAATTTGGCAGTAGAGGTTTTTAAAAACCATATACTGACTGAAACATGAGCCAGAGCTGATTGCTTTATTAAGCTAATAATGAATGTTAAGAGTACATATTTTCAGGATCATTTGCCTAGTGAGCTAAACATGTATTATAGGCCAATATTTTTTAAAATAAAGCTTGGTCAACCTCTATGTTACACATATTACAAGATATAGCACTTTCAAAAAGAAAACCTAAACCTTTTAAGAAAATTTCTTACAGGTTATGCTTTTTATTATAAAACCTTTTATTATAATTTGTTTCAAGTGCCATTAGATTACATATATGTAGGCCTTTGGTATAATGCTTTGTGTACAAAATGGTAGACATTGTAATTTTAAACAGGTACATTTTTACAGTGTTTTCTTATCAATTGCTATATTGCACAGAACCAGTGTGTCTTTCTTAAGGGTTTTACAATGGTTTTTACTAGGTTTACATGTTTCAAACTACACTGTCTTCTACTGCCATTTTGAATACCAGTCAAAAAAAAATTAGGAGTTTGTCCTCACCGATTGCAAACTGTGTCCTCTGGAGTTCTGGATGGTAAACTATGGCAAAAATGTTTAACATGCAGTATTTGATACAGATTTTTTTTTTATCATATCCTATCATCGCTATGCTGCTGTCTGAAGTTAACTTAGGGCCAGATCCTGCGTCCGTAAAGGTCGAGGGGAGCAGGATTGCATCCTTTGTTATGTCTGTCTCATACACTGGTTTAGCAGCTCATGCTGTACTCTTCTCAGTCTATAGATAAGCCTCTGAAAGAAATGTACTTATCTGGTATGTAGTAAACCGTATAGGCTTAGCTGCCCATCCTGCATCCTCCCAGTGTACAGTTAAAACCACAGCCTACTTAGCATCACGCTCAACGTACAAACACCACCACAGTAGTTCAAAATGTGTTTGGATAGTCCCAAAGCTTTTATGCAATAAGGGTGTCTTACTTTTGTTGGAAGGCAGTGTCTTTTGATAACAGTTATCTAGCCCTGGAAGTGACACAGAACTATTGCTAATCATATGTAAACACTTTTCAGTATAAGCTTCAGTGGTACAGTTGAACCAGAGTGAATGTTTATCTCCTCAGAAACACTCCTGCAATATTGTTATATTGGATCATGCTGCTAATGTAACTTGGGATACAACTCCTCTCATGGTGCTACAAACCTCCCTGTCTCATTCAGATGTATTTTTACCCATAGAAAAAAAAAGGACTATACTAGACCTATAGTTGTATGATATATTTTTATACTGTGACTTAATTTGTCATTAATGAACTTTGTGCAACACCACAATGTATTCATATGCACTTGCAAAAGTAAAATTTTGGACATGCAAATTTAAACGCTGACAAGCCCAGCTCTTGTTCACAAAAATAGGTGACTGCTAGTTAAAATTAAATGTGGGCTTTTTATATGGTGTGGAGTGAAGAACATACTATATATTACTAAAAGCCTTTGAATTTAGACAAAAACTGGGAAAAGTATATTGGGGAATGATGACACACCCAAACCTGACTTGGATTGCTGAAATTATATTTTTAGCTAGTGGAAAAAATTGTTTGGACTTTTATGCTAAAATGTTTTAATGATAAAAGTTTTGAGTCAAAAATAGAGAGAAAAAAAAAGAACACAGAAAACCCTGCATTCCAGACTGAATTTGTATATGTTTCTTGCATTTAAAATTTGCTATCCTGTGATATGGGAAATTGAGTTGCTTATCATGTATATGTACTTTAAAATGTATTCACAAACTACTGTTGTATTTGTATAAAATATAGACAAAAAGATTGCATATATATTTTTGTGTATAAGCTCTGTAAAATAGCAATCACATTATGAAGCTGCAGCAGAACTTCATTTTAAACATTCACATCCAAAGAAACAGACTATTTATTGTCCACATACCCTGATTATAAAATATACCTTGCTGCTATTAAACAATAGTGCTGCAGCTTCTTGTGGCCTACAGTGTTATGTTTGCTGTACAAAAATATGTGAACTCCACAAAATATATCAATAAAATTACAGAATGGTTTTAGTTAATGAATAACTTATGCCTGGCATTTCAATAGATAATCTTGATCTGCATGTTTGGGGTTACAATAAGTAATTACAGAATACATCCAGTTTTGCTGGGTGTAGTTACTCTGAGTTTGCAAAGGTATCACTGTCTTTCTAATTTGTGACTGGTAAAATGTCCGTTTTTCAGAAAATCTTAAAGCATAAGTATCTGCATTGCATGGTTTCACCAAGGAACAAATCGCATGACGCTACTATGTCTGTGACAGTACAGATCTGAAGTGAAAGAAGCAATTGAGTTTGGCATCCAATTGCACTTTGAAATGCTGTGAGACGCTGGAAGGTGAGTTTGGGGTTTCCATAGTGGGACCACTCATTTGGGAGACGTAGGTGAGTGATTCTCCATCACTTCAGATTAACGTGAGTCATTTACATCGATCCTTACAGTTTGTAGGATAAACTGTAAGGGTGGCATGTGCTAGACACAGCATGTGGGTTGTCTCTCTGAAACGTTTCCAGGAGAAGCTTTGTCGCGTTGACCCCACAGACCTCCCGTCTGCCCGTGGCGCTGCTGGAGAAGTCTGACTCTAACACGTGGGGGAAGAGGTGCTGTGCAGCCAGACGGGCGGCCTGCTCACAACTGCAGAACGTTGCCTCTGACCGTTCCATACAGTTGTTCCCTAGCATAGACTGCCAGGAAAGTAAAAGACCAGTGTTTCACGTGTCTTTGCTTTTCAGAATGTATTTTGTGAACATCCTCAGCATTGCCTGTGTTTTCC